TCTTGCGGGATATGAGGCCGTGCATTCTGATAGATCCCGACGCTCTGGTGGGAGCAGATCTCCCTGTCTTTAGAGTAGATAATTTCCCTAAAAATTGAGTTAAACAGGTTCTCCGGAACATTATTATCTGACTACCATTACACGCGGTAGAACATCGCAGAAGAATGAAATATTGAAACATTTCTTAGGATTTGAGGTTCTCGCACCGGTGGTTATGAACATTTTTGTATTCTGGGATATGACGTCATGTAGTCCGCTGAAAGTCAACTGACTCTCCCCAGAAATGTATCACCCCCGTCTTCAGGTTCAAAGAATATTGCAAGGAAGAAGTCATAATGAAGCAGATACCAAAGAGGCTCTGCGAAACACTTTGATATTCAAGGAAGATTTGATTTGAACGTCTGCTTGGGAAACATCCAGTAACTGAAAATCTCCATATCTCTTATATTTATTCTTATGAATGCATAAATTTGTTGTCGTGGGTTAATAAACTACGATTTTTTTCTCATCGTTTTAGTCTGGTAGTGCCCAGACCCTCGATATAAATTTGATATAATTATGAGTAATCAGGAACCAAGGCAAGTAACTGCGTTTTCAGAGACGTGTTTAGATTACCCCCACTCCATTACGCATTATAATCTCGCGTGATCCGAGAGGCTTTAGCGCTGTATACGGTATTAATTTATTAGGGTACAGTGAATTGCGTTATGCGTGTTGCATGGCTTGGAAGCGGCCAGCAGTAACGAAGGAACCTGCTACGTCACATTAATGATGTAGATCTTCTTGAAAATGTTATTGTTATTATATTCTAGAATGTAACTCTGCGTAATGCGACAGAAGTTCACAAACGTTGCCTACATCTTCAGAATTACAGAATTAGCCAAGTTAGTGACCTGCAGTAGGGTAGCAGAAACATGTGGAGTAGCCTCTTTATAAGGACCAGACATATCGGATTTGATATGGCGCTAAACTTTAAAAGGTAAAAAGTTAAAACTATCCTTGTAACGGACCGTGGAGGGTTGTGAGACGTCGAGGTTCCCACATTTTCTAGACAGTCGGCTCAACGATGGCGGTGACGTCAGCTTTATGCGTCGGCCATCCTTTACCCCCAAGGAAGATTCCTGGTACTCATTTCTATTAGAGGCTGAGTCGACCCCATGGCCATAATGCGGCTGGAAGGATTAGGTCAATTTTGGAAATCCACTGACATCGGAAATCGAACCCGCGACCTTCCGGCTTGTAGCATAGTGCCTCAACCAACTACTCTACCGCGTGACCCAGCCGTTAAAAAATCGTAGCTTTATATGCTGCCTGTTTATTATTGGTTCCTTGCTTAGCTCACTCTTCGACATTGAAGATGGAAGCAGTACGTTCCTTCGAAAGTCAGTGAACTTCTGTTGGGCTCCATGGCGTTACACGACAGAAGATAGTACAGTTCAGAGACACCGCTCAAAGCCAACAAAACTAACGCCGAGTTCCGCAGTAACTTACCCCAGTCCTTGCTCTTATGCAACGTGGAGGTTCATGGCCGTATTCAAAGAATTCCGTCTTTCGTCCCTAATATCAGCCAGTATAATCCAATCCACATTTCACACCGTGTGAGATTTAGGTTCTCACGGGGATGAGTATGAGGCTCACGATCTCCTGGGATGTGACGCCGTGTAGTTTGGTCTGTATATACCAACGTTTGTGAGAGACATGCTGTCTCCATGTTCAGGGTAAAATAAACCGCGCACTGGCACTAGCTGTATTGCAATAGGAGCACGACTTACGCTTCTACACAGAAGATGGAAGCATCAGGAATATTTGTCCCTGTCTACCAAACTACACAGCGTCACATTCCAAAAAAACTGTAATTTTGACTTCATACCTGTTTTAATACCGTGATCCCTTTTACACACAGGATTCCCAGATTAAGTTATGATTTCTTTTAAGGGTTGATATTCTTCACCCAAAGTTAGGATGCATTTTTTTAATCCATTACTTTCTTATTTTTATCATGAATGTCGGTCATAAGGAGGGGGTTCGTAACTTGTACTCTTCGCAAAAAGAATAATTAGAATGATCAAGTCAAGGAGGATGAAATTGGCAGGGAATGTATCACGAATGCTCGAGAATAGGAACGCATATAGGATATTGGTGGGAAAGCCAGAAGGAAAGAGACCACTAGGAAGACCAAGACGTGGATAGGTGGACAATATTAAAATGTATAGGGACCAGTGGAGGGCTCTTGTGAACACGGTAATGAACCTCCGGGTTCCATAAAATGCTGGGAAATTCTTGAGTACCTGCACAATTGGCGGCTTCTCAAGAAGGGCTCAGCTGCATGAAGTTAGTCAGATATGTCGGTTTCATTCTTATTATATTTTCCGATATGTAATATTATATTCAAGTCTAAAGCCCTTGGGTGGGGGAGGGATAGTAATTAATTTTGAACGTCTGTCTTTCACTTTCAGAAGTTCTTGCTCTGTATCGCTGTACACTTTACGGAGGAGGGGGAACTTTATTTGGATGCGCAGATGGTTAATTGTTTGTCCTCGTGACTCGGTTTTGCTACTAACGAATGAAGCATCTTCACGACTCCACGCATCGATTTTCCCCGCGTCTTCTAAAAGACGCCCAAGAACTCGGCATTCGAGCGACAGAATGTTGCTTCAAGTTTATCTGCCTAATGCATCCGCGACTGCTTCACTTAGATTTTATTAATTGCAGACTTTGGCTCAAGAGTGGTATAACTCCAAAAATTACATTGATATTACGACTTGGTTTTGTGCTTTTGGTTTCGAACTTAGGAACCATATAGCTGAAAGTTATCTAACTAAGATTCGTATTAGTTGTACACTTCCTTCTTATTCTTCTTCTTCTTCTTCTCGGTCCTGGAAGTTGCTGTTTTCATATAAATTCCTTTCGAAAAAAAAAAGTTCATGCCTGACTTGTGTTCACGTGCAGGCTCCTCGTCTCGCTTACTGTGAATTTTGTTTAATTGTAAGGATCCTGGATAGCTCAGTCCTTATAGTGACGGGCTGCAGGCTGGACGGCCGGGGTTCCATTCCCGGCAACGGCAAGTTTTACTACACAGTGTCCAGACCGGCTCTGGGGCCCACCCAAATTCCTCTATAATTCGTACCGGAGGTTCTTTTTCTGGGGGTAAAGCAGCCCGGTCCGGTCTCAAAGTTGACCACTCACCTCCAGCTAGTGCCGAGGTCAAGAATGATGGAGTTACACCTCCACTCCCCCACATTACTTCATGGTGTAGTGCTTAGTTAATTAAGCCCAACAACAACTTTAAACCGGTCACGGTAGCCGGGCTAAGACATGTACTGTCTTTGCTTGCTCGGTAGCCGGGATCGTGTTTGGTGTGTGTATGCGTTTATTCTGTGTTTTGTGTTTCCCTGTGTTTAAGAAGAGTCCTTGCAACGAGCTGATCACCCATCTGTAAAATTATCATGAAACTGATAAATCAGCCCTATGCCCCAACGTTGAAGCAAGAGGAGAGAAGAATTCAGCAATTTTAACTTTTACCACAAGATGTCGCGTTATGTATATCCTGCTCCATTAATTGTCCCTCCGAACTTTAAGTGTTGCTCCAAGCACAGTGTTTCAAACACTTCTAATTCATTGAATTTCACCTAGCGGGAGTGGATTCACAGCCACGTAATGCTACCGCCCCAGATAGTATTTAAGTAATCTCTGGAATTTTTTTGAAGTTGCTAAGATGAAAACAATTTTAAGTTAACAAAGGGATGCAAGTATAACATCTATACCTCCCCCACTTTAAAGTATTTGTTACTGCTCTTGGCATACTTGCATTTTAAAGTTATGAGACGCGACGCCATGTTGTTTTGTAGTAATGTACCAACGTCTCAGAGGAACCTGTTCCTTGTCTTTAAGTCATCATTTACAATTTTCTATCTTTAAGATGGAGGCATACTATTCCTCCGAAACCACAAACTACATCGTATATGACATTATAATTCTGGCAGTAGTAATTTTCATAATCATCACGGCGAGAGCCTTAGATTTTAAACATCACGAAATAATTTGTTGATGTATATTTTTGTTATGACATGAAGCCGGAAGGTCGGGGGTTCGAGTCTCGATGAAGTGCATTTTTTTTTCAATTAACATAATCCTTCCAGCCGCACTATGGCCCTGGAGTCGACTCAGCCTCTAGAACAGCCGTGTAAAACATGCGACCCCCCATAGCCACAAAGTGCGGCCCCTCAACTTTTAGAGCTAATTGATATTAAAATCAATATTAAAATTTTAGTACAAATATTTTTTGTGAAGACAGTTTTCCAACAGACCAGAAGACAAGAAGTCTCACGCAACATAAATTAGCAGGCTGCAGGAAATTCAATGTTTTGCTATTTCTAACATAATTTCTTGTTTAAAATCTCTTTTTACATATTGGAAAGCTGTTTGATACTTGTCAAAAAATGGCATTCTCTTGCTTTTTAAAACTGTAAGATATGTGCTTTAGGTAATTATATTGAAATTATTCCTAAATAATAAATAGAATTAAATTTCCTTGTATCAAAATCTTAATGTATATTTCTATTTTGAAGTGCGGCCCTGGACTATTATTTATAGGGCTGAGGTGGCCCTCTGTAGAAGTTGAGTTTGACGTGCCTGCACTAGAAGAAATGAGTACCAGGAATCTTCCGGCGGGGAGAGGGGGGGGGGTTAAAGGGCGGCCGGCGCGTAAGGCTGACAACCTTACCGACATTTGTCAGCCCATTGTCTAGAAGATGTGGGAGCTTCAACCTCTTACAAACCTATGAGCTTCCACGGCCTGTTACAGGGACAAATTTACCTATGGAAGTTTGGATTTCGTAACATGCTCATATAATTTTTAATTAAAGGACGGTGAAAATGTGTCACGATTGTTATGACTCCTACTGCGGAGCCTTATAGATTCCAGTTTTATGACTCTGTTCACGTGATTGTTATGGTGTTGACATGCGCTGTTAGTCTCACGGTTCCGTTTCTTGTTGCAGACATGCCGCTGTAGAGGAAGACCTGATTTCCGGCCCTGGTGCATCAAGTCAGCATGTGTCAGCAGTCTCTGTGGCCACCAACAGAAACAGAAGCGAAGAAGAAGAGAACAGTCATCACAGGGACGACGCCACAATCACCACGGCCCTTAGCAAACCGTCCAGTAGCAACCACAATCCACCTCTGCACGTCGCCATGACCAATACGTCACGCCCCCCTCCAACCAATAATAACACTTGTCCCTCGTCATCACCTTTGTCCATAGACAGACGGGTATCACACGAGATACTGTTGGGGAACAGCCCACCGCATTGCTCCTCGCCGCTGAAACAAGATAGAGATGGTAATGTCGTCTCGTCTTCCCAGATGGAGCGTCCCAAACCACATCATGCCACTGGGCCAGTGCCTTCTTCCATCAGATCGTCAAAGCCTTCTGCAGTTGTTGCCAGTAGTGCCTCCACGCCCCACACACAGCCTCCTAAACACAAAACTAGTGCCTCAAGTCCTGCAAATCCCACCATGCCTTTTCCATCTCCTCCTAAGCCTATCGGGTCAACTACATCTGGCAGTCAATCACAGAGTAGTTCGGCATCTTCCAGAAAATCAACGCACCCTCTTCCCAGCAGACAGAATTCATCAACACCTTCCAGAAGACAGGAGCAAATTGTGTCAGCTACTTCCAATAAGCACCCACGAAGTGGGTCAGCACCGCCCAGTAAAGAAATTCAAAGAGGACCAGCTGTTTCAAATAAATCATCGCAAAGTCGGCCAACATCTTCCAGTAAGCAAGTGCAAAGTGGTCCCGCTCCATTCAGCAGATCATCTCAAAGTGGGACAACGCCTTCCAGTAAACACGTATATTGTGGGTCAGCTGCTTCAGTTAAAGTGACTCAGACAGCTTCCAATAAACAGTCACAAAATATAGCAACACCTTCCAGAAAATTAGTGCATAGTATCTCAACACCTAATGCGCATGTGCAAAATGGGACGATATCTTCAAGAAAGCAAATAAGAAGTAGTTCACTGACTTCAACTAAACAAATGAAGACCAGCCCAAGAACTTCCTGTACAGAAGTGCGTCGTGAGTCAGAACTAGCCAACAAAGAGACTCCAACACTTCCCAGTACACGCATGTATGATACTTCAGCATCATGTAGTGAAGAAAAGGAAATCAGTTCAACTCCTGTACAACAAACTTCAAGTAACACTCTAACTGATTCAGCATCTTCCAATGTACAAAGGCATGAAAATTTACCGTCTTCTTGTACAGACATGCCAGATGTTTTGACATCTTCGAGAAATGAGGATTTGGGAGGCGAATCTCTACCAGTTAATTCAGAAGTGCAAATTAGCCCAGAAAGTAACATACAAGCGCAAACTGGTTCACTGTCAGCGCAAAGTGGATATCCTTCTGGACTATCAAGCTCACAGCAGACATCAAACTCCAGTGCCAAATCGCACAAATATTCAGCCCCACTTGCCAGCCGAACCTTATCAAACAGTGCTTCCGCAATAAATTCTGGGAAAACGAGTACAACAGAAATTTCACAGATAATGTCAGAATCAGTGATACCTCCTGTCATCATCCAGGGTGAGACCTCCAGACTCTCAGAAGACACTCCTTATAAAGCTCCAGTGAACCATATACAGCAAAAGCTCTTCATGCAGTCTAGAAGTTTAGGAATTGACCCTTGCAGACCAATCTATCCAAACTATCCGTTCTCCCCCTACGGATCTCCGAGTTCCTCACCTAGAGCCTTGAGAAAGAGGTCACCGTTGAAAGAGAGCCGACGCGTCAGCATAGACAAGTCAGGAGAATACATCCAACTGAACCAGTACAGGCTTATGGACTCCATAGGACAGGTGAGGCATATTTGCTGCAAGTGGAGTGGCCGTTCTTGTGTACATTTCTTTTGAACGTTTACTTACTTACTTACTTACTTACTTACTTACTTACTTAGTCATGAAGCTGAGCCCTTCTGGAGGACCCCCCAATTCTGCAGCTACTCAAGAATTTTCCAGCATTTTATTGAACCCGGAGGTTCATTACCGTGTTCGTAAGAGCTCTCCACTAGTCCCTATCCATTCTAATATTGTCCACCCACCTGCGTCTTGGTCTTCCCTGTGGTCTTTCCTTCTGGCTTTCCCACCAATATCCTTTATGCATTCATCGTCTCCCCCATCCGTGCTACATTCCCTGCCCACCTCATCCTCCTTGACTTGATCATTTTAATTATACTTGGAGAAGAGTACAAGTTATGAAGCTCATCATTATGCAGTTTTTTTTCCAACCTCCTGTCACTTCATCTCTCTTCGGTCGAAATATTCTCCTCAGCACCCTGTTCTCAAACACCCTCAGTCTATGTCCCTCCCTTAATGTCAGAGACCAAGTTTCACACTCATACAGAACCACAGACAAATTTATAGTTTTGAATATTCTAATTTTTATGTTTTTGGACAGCAGACGACGTTTGAACATTTGGGCTCAAAGTGTTTTGGAAAGTTTCGAAGTTATATTCTGTCATACATCTGAAGAGTATTAGCTTGTTTATTTTCCTCATGAGAGGTAATTGGCATGAAGCGAAATCAGGAGGAACTTAAGTACATTTTAATACTGTGGTTTCCATAAAGGTACACTAATAACAAACATACACGTACGTGTACATCGTTTTCTAGCACTGAATGTAATGTTCATTTGTTTGGAACGCGGGTTTTCAGACTGGCTAGCGTGTAAGATAATGTAACGTAGAGTATAAGTATATAGAGCATAATTCTAAATCCAAGAAAACACAGTTCAGATCAAGGTATTGGCCATAATCCCCTTAGGTTTTTATACGAAATTGCTTTCGACTGTTTCTTTATTCTGTTTTCTCTGATAAATAACTTGTGATTATGACTTGTATTATGGCATTTGCCCCTTCATATTTATAGTATGTATAGATGAAACCATGTAAATGGTGAGGAAGATTACAGAGAATTTTGGTTTAGTTGGTTTCCCTGATAAATGGGAAAGCAGTGTCGTGTTTTAAACGTCAGATCCCCAATCCATTTTCGGTCACCGTGCCCCGCGGTCTCAGAATGAGACGTCATGTACAGCCTTTTCAATGATTTATTAATTTTTACGTTAACCGATTCCTACCTGTACTCCTGTATATAGTTACAACAAAATAACTCCTTTAATTGTACTGTATATATTCTATGCACAGACAATATTATATTTAAATGTTATGAAATTGTTTCTTAAGCCCTTCGGGCCCGTGATTAATANGCCTTATATATTAGTAATGGATTAAAATGTATAGTTTAGTTTTAGGCCTATTCTAATGGATGATGTTTAATTACAAGCATTCAGTGTAACATGGGTCGAGTTTAATGTCACACAGAAACAATCGTAAATACGCATATAAATGAAGAATGCCGTATTCGGGGATGTGGCGCCGCACAGAAATTGTGTTAACCGAGGAACGTGGGTATACACAAGATCTACACGGCGCCACATCCCAGAATACGGCATTCTTCACACAGCCCTGAAAACCTCAAATCTTACAAGCACATAGATATTCTGTTTACTATACTTTCATACCATAATTAGTATTTTGCAGTGCGAAGCATTTTGTGATTGACGTTCAGGAAATCCGCTGTTTTGCTTATTCATGAATCAGAAAATTTTGAGAACCACTGCTTTAAGCAATGCAATATATTGCGCCGGGAGGTGACTGTTGTTTGTTGGATCTGAACCTGTTTTCCTCGGAGTAGGTAACGATTTTCACGGCTCGCGGCCCTCAGGGTGTAAATTAATCCGCTCGCTTTGCATTCTCTTTGATCAGCAGAGCCGAAACGCATGTGCCATCACACGTAAATATATATCCTGCATGAAGTTAGCAGTAGCAGAACACAAATCGGGCAACTTCTGTGAATCCCAACTCGGCGACCTAACGGTGCCATGAGTTTTAAAACAGCTAACACTGAAGTCCAGTCTAGGACAATATTCTCAGCAAAGTTTCGCACAATTCTCACCTTCGCGGCCTCTTTATTGTACATCCTTATTATTATTAACCAGCCACCTATTTAAAGAAGGTAAAACTATCAAGAATAATGACCAAGGAAGAAGATATGAAGAGGGAATGTGGCACGAATAAGGGAGAATAGAAACGAATATAGGATATTGGTGGTAAAACCGAAAGGAAAGAGACTACTAGGAAGACCAATACATATTATTATTATTATTATTATTAGAAGGGGTGGGTTACTCCATGCACTTAGACCAGTTATTGGTCCATTGTGCGTCCCCCTTTAATTTCTACTCTCCCCATACCCTACCGATACTGGTGCGTGCTATCAGCCCCGTTCAGCCAACGAGGTCGGCCGTCGGTACCTGATATTTCCCCCATCTACCAGAGGCATTGGAGACTTCTTGGGCGGGAAATTGTTGCCTAATAATTTAGCTCAGAGGTCTCCTAGAGACATGAGGATATTTTACGTGCCGTAAATCTACGACACGGGACCCACAGCTTAAAGTCCCTCCCGGAGGACTTGTTCCCGTAATTTTTCCGCCCTTAAAAATTCCACAACCTCCGCCGGGTGGGAACGTTACCCCTAGACTACGGAGGCCGCTAAGACCAATATATTTGTGAGTGAATAATATTGTCACGTGTAGGAGGATACGCGTGACGAAAGTAGCGGGTTCTAGTTCAGATGGTTGGATTTATTAGCACTTCGGTTACAACCTCTCTTATTTACAATTAATGAAGCTTCGGGTCCTATAAAATTATGGGAAATTCTTGAGTGGCTGCACAACTGGAGGCTTCTCAAGAAGGTTTCAGCTTCATGGAGTTAGTTATAAGCTCCTTCTTCCTGTTTGCTTTTCAGCTTACAAGGTCTTAACCTTAATTAAGTACTTACTATAGGATTCTGACGATGGTGTATAACACATTGAGATATTGGGTTTTCGGACTTTATCCATCGTCCTGGTTTTTAAGCTAACTAAGAAAAAAACACGACGTTTCGGAAACTGGGTCTGTTTCCGTCCTCAGGTGAGGGAAAACACCTATTCTGTTGGGTCCGGTGTTTGAGGCTAGCTCTTTCTAAGGATCCCAACAGAGTAGGTGTTTTCCCTCACCTCAGGACGGCAACAGATCCAGTTTCCCAAACGTCGTGTTTTTTTAGTTATCTTAAAAAGCAGGACGATGGATAAAGTCCGAAAACCCAATATCTCAGTGTCTTAACCTTAATGTTTCTACAGTAACCTCATTAATAATTAACTACTTCGACTTTTTTTTTCGAATTGAAGCTAGATGTAGTTCCGATTTTCAGTTTGTAGACTTCCTCCAATAAATGCCGCTCTCAAGCAAACTTATCGCCCGTGGCGACTTTGTCATCAACGTCCCGACGTTGGCAAATTTGTGTAGTCCTGAACACATTTTCGGGCCTTCACCACTCAGTTAACCTTTAACGGCCTATTCACACGCCGCAGTGACGTGATTGATGTAGACCCCTGTCAGTCAGGTTTAACGAAGTTTATTTGATTAAACAGACTGTGACACGGGTTAACAGTTCTGTGCACCCACTCACAGAGATCCGTGGTCTCTGTTCCAGCATCAGCCTCTGCTGGATACGTAAGCAGTTTCTATTCATGTAACATCCTGAGGCATTATTTGTTGACTGATCTAATGAAGCTTTCAGTTAAACGACGTCAAATAATGGGATTATTATTACATCATGAATTGGAAAAACTTAGGGGATGTAGTACCGTAGTTGGTTGAGGCACTATGCTACAAGCCGAAAGGTTGAAGGTTTGATTCCCGATGAAGTCATTACATTTTTCAATTTACCTAATCGTTCCAGCTGCACTATGGCCCTGCGGTCGACTCAGCCTCTAACAGAAATGAGTACCAGGTGTCTTCCTGGGGGTAAAGGGCGGCCGACACTTAAGGCAGACAACCTCACCGACAACTGTTAGCCGACTGTCTAAAATATGTGGGAGCCTCGACGTCTCACAACTTTATGGACCTCCACGGCCTGTTACAGGGATAGATTTACCTTTACTGCCTTTTTACTATTGGAAAGTTTGGGATACGTTATTGGGAGAAATAAGTCCTTGTAGTCTCTGGGGAATTTTCCTGACTTTACGTAAAGGGAATTTATTTATTTAATACTTTATAATGATTGCTGTCTTATGGGTTGTGACGCTATGTAGTTTGGTAGACAGGAACAAAAGTTTAGGAGGAAATTCCTGCCTATATTTGGAGGTAAAATTCACGTAATGGAAGTTGCTAAAGTGAGCTCCCCAACATACATTATGATTTGCAGTAGGAGCTAAAGTGACCTCCCCAACATACTCGTTCATTATAATTTGCAGTAGGATCTAAAGTGGTCTCCCCAACATACATTATGATTTGCAGTAGGAGCTAAAGTGGCCTCCCCAACATACATTATGATTTGCAGTAGGAGTTTGTCCCGGTAGTGACTCCATAGATATTTACCTTCTAGTGATTTTACTTAACGTAGTTTACTCTGAAGATGGCAGTAGAAACTTCGTCCGAAACGTATACCTATTTATCGAATTAAATGCTGTCTTATCCAAGAAGACGGTATTCTTCACGGATACTGCCATGATATCTTCAGATATGCATTTAAATAATATTTATTTAACAGCTGTGTTAGCAGTTCAGATGTATCGTTGAAGGACATGATTATTAATGATTAATAAATTAGGAAAAATGTAGAAGTAAACAGATGTGGAATAATTTGAGGCAATATAGGGATTTTTTTAGACTGAGGATTACAAATAGAAATCTCTGTCGGGTTAATTAGTCCCCAGCCCAAGATTTCAAAACGAGACCCCCTGAACAGGAAACGGGACTGCCAGCCACCAGATCATGACATTCGTTCTGATGAATTGAAAGGAAGTAAATTTATATGGGCCAATTTTTATTTATGGCTAAAAGAGGTAAACCGGCCATGGAGGCTCATAGGGTCGTGAGACGTCAAGGCTTCCACATTTTCTATACAGTCGGCTCACAGATGGCGGTGAGGTTGTCAGCCTTACACGCCGGCAGCCCTTCACCCCCAGAAATTTTCCTGGTATACATTTCTGGTAGAGGCTGAGTCGACCCCAGGGCCTTAGTGTGTCTGGAATGATTAGGTTAATTAAAAATATCAATGAATTTCTCAGGAATCGAATCCGCGACCTTCCGGTTTATAGCATAATGCCTCAAGCGAACACGCTATGTGTTTATGTATATCTATGAAAATATGTAACCATTGCTCCAGTTGTGTGTGATATTTATTTCTTTTCGGTTACATTTTTAAGTAGCTTCTTCAGTTCTCTTTTTTTTTTGTGAGGTCACAACGAAGAGTTGCAAGAAATGCGTGTTGCTTTCACCACGTACGTCTTTTTGTGAAAATTCTAGAATAAATAACGGTTGTAGAGTTGCAGCTTATGAAGAGCTCTGGCTTCTGGACTATAACACCCTGTAGTCCGTTGAAGCATAATTGAGGAGCTATTTCCAGGAAATTGCGGCTCCTGTCAAGAAAACCAAAATTAACGGCCGTGGGGATTCGCTGCGCTGACCACGCGACACCCTCTATCCGCTAAAGTTGGCACTAACTTCTCCGACAAGCGGCGGTCGTTCGGTCGGTATAGTTTGCTTGCGGACTAAATCCAAGGAATTTGTTTGTTTTTGTAGTCCATTGAAAATCAGTCGAAGTTTCGGAAGAACATGTAGCCTCCGAAACGTAAGTTGATTTTCAAAGAACTTCAGTTCAGAATATAGAACTTCCCAACTGAACGGATTCTTATGAAAGTTGTAAGAACTGAAGTTCGGGTGGCCGTCACTATGGAGAGTACCATTTTCTGTAATGTAACGCCGTGTGTTCTAGTAAATTCTCCCGGACCACCCGATGTCACATCCCAGAATATAGCATCTTCGTGAAACTTGTTAATTGCCAAGTTCTCATCGATTCTTTTAATTTTTTTCCCCTGTACTGCGGCCACTTCTGGCCTATTGTGCGAGCCCCAGATGATAGGTGAGGGTGATTGTGGAGCAATTGGTGGAATGAAGATTGGCAGGGGAAACCGAAGTACTCGGAGAAAACCTGCCCCAGCGCCACATTGTCCACCACAAATCCCACTTGACCAGACCCGGGATCGAACCCGGCCCCCCGCAGTGGGAAGTCAGCGACTAACCGCTTGAGCTATGGCGCGCCCCATTCTTTTAAGTTACTCATATTTTGGTTAAAAATAAGTCAAAAATAACGGACGCTTTATACGAAGACCTAGGCTGTAGAGGAAAATAAAGAAAAACACTCATTGCATTTCAATGAAAAATATTTCCTCCAGTTTTGCGGCCACTGAAGTACAAAAGCAATGGTAATATTTACATTGTAGAGTCAGTATCTGGGCGAACTGACCAAAATAATTACGTTATGCATTTCTAACAGTGTTCTTCCATCTAAGATCGTGTCCCCAGAATAGGCTGCACTATTTTGGTGAACTCTGGATCTCCATTGAACGCCTCACGAAACCTCTGTAAATGTTCTTTGTACTGCGCATGACAATACCACATACAGTTATAACGGGACCAGCACGCAACCCTGTAAGCATGTGTTGTCTGTTGCAGGGTTCCTACGGCATCGTGAAACTCGCCTACAATGAGCAGGATGATACTCATTATGTAAGTATCTCATTTCTCGAGTCCAACTTCACAGTTCTCCAGAAACATTCATTGGCAATTGCGTGGTCTTTTCTCAGGTCATGGTGACCGCGAGGTCTTCACCCTCTCGAAAATTTGGATCATGGGTCCGAATCCCTGTCTCAGCGCCACTTTGTCCACCACAAATCCCACTTGTTCAGTCCCGGGATCGAACCCGGGCCGCCGCGGTGGGGAGCCAGCGACTAACCGCTTGAGCTATGGCGCGGCCTAATATGGAGTTAGTATCCGACGTTTCCGAGGCTGATTTCTTGAGCCCGCCATTGGCTTAGCATTCTGGAAGCTGTACAAATTGTAATGCGATTGAATGCTTATCCAGTCAGGTCCTTTAGAGCTTGCAGCTGTGAATAGTTTACGCTGTACTGTCGCTCTTTGTGTTAATATCGTACTGTTATGAGTGTTCTGGAAACAGCTTTTTATCTGTAGAATTTGAGATTGCCACATCGGTGTTCATGAAGATTTCTATCTTCTGTGATATCACGCCAGATACTCCATTAAAAGTCAGCCGACGTCTTGGAGGAATATGTCGCTTCCATCTTCATGGTCAGGGAATAAACGAAGAATGAAATTGACATGAAGAAGGTATCAGACATGTCTTGGCTTATTCATTAACCCTGAATATAGAGACGAAACGTCAGTTAACTCTCAGTGCACTGCATATCATTCTATCCCAGAAGAGTGATCACTTAAACTCAACACTTAAGTACATATTTTTTCTACTTTAAAATTTGTAGAATCCAACTTCCAAGTTTCGGACCGTCGCCATATTTGTAATTGTAAAATTATATGTGCGTAATATTTCTAACTGAATTTACAGAGACAGCCTGGAATCAAGGATTACAGACTAATCCTACCAAGGGATCTAATCACGATTTTTTTTAGTTTATCCTCTCGCCTGAGGAAGGAAGTAGCCAATTTCCGAAATTTTATGACTGGAAAATACATGTACTGAGATTATAGACATTGTTCTGATTCTGGATATGACCCAGAGGCTCTTAAGAACACATTAATGAACGTAAATTGGGGTCTTTACTAGCTGACCGGATTCTGAAGAACTTTGTTCACATGGATTCATGCAAACTTACTGTGGTGGTGAAATATAAACGTCTAGACTTACATAATAATCGATAAGTACAAGTGTGACATTTCAATGTTGTTATGATCCTAACTTCTACAAATTTATGTGGTTATTTTACGGTGCTCTCGGTAGCTCAGGCTGTTTAGTGTCGAATGTTCGGCTCATTGATTAATGATGAATTGGAAAGGATGTGGAAAGAAACGGTAGTGTCATAATCGAGGTGTTAATCGTAGAATTTGCGAAAAGGGACTGGGGGACGCCGTCCTGTTCAGTGGATTTCCGTCAAGTATTTCCGGCTGTCTTACTGCCTTCCAGAGCACAGGCCATGTGTAATTAAAGCAAATGAAGTCTTTTGAAAGATACATGCGTTTGAAACACATTCACAGCAAATAAAGTTTCAGACTTCACTAAATCATTTCAGCCCTTCTTGAAATACAAAACACGATATTTCAGTTTTTATTAGAGTCTTTTATGCATGAGTAACATACAGCAGTTTTTTATATTTTTTAATTCAATTAACACTATGCCCAATTTAATTAAAATTATTATGAGATTTGCAAAATGAATTCCTGTGGCCTCTGAAGGACTTTTTTTTCGTTTATTAATTAAGGTAAAGCACAAAGCTGTTCTTCATTCTGCTTTGAGGGCTAGACCAGAACAACAGCAACCCGCAACAAAGATGAAGGCAAGGAATTCTATGCCATTGCTTTAAAGTCGTAATATAAATCACAGCGATTCTTCTTCATGTGTGCATGTACATGCATACATGCTGTTAGTCTAGACTCTTTGCTTTACAAAGCGACCGACGCGTAGGGTTGACAACCTCACCGTTATCTGTGAGCTGATTGTCTAGAAAATATGGGAGCCTCGACACCTCACAACTTTATGGGCCTCCATGGCATGTTACAGGGATATCTTTATCTCTTTACCTTTGCTTTACTAGAAAAGAGACAAATTGTTTTTCTCCGAAAATCTCACAGAATGTGACTATGAATAATACTATTATATTTGATTTGATGTAGTGTATTCTGATGGAAATTGTGCTTTCTGCTGGTTTCTTGGTTGGGTTATACTTCGACCTTGAAGATGGAAGCAGTAAGTTCTTCCGAAATGTTGATAAACGTCTATCACACTTATCAAACTACATGGTGTAACATTAAAAATATATCACTCTTCAAAGATAAATGTACTTATTAATTATTACTGAAATATACAAGTATGTTGAAAATTCAACGGGAAAAGTCCGAAATACCCCTCTTCTGGCCACTGTTTCTACAGACAACCCTTACATCGATAATTTGCATGTCAACATGTCACAGTATATTCATCGAGGAAGACTCTGAAATCACGATTTCACTGAGCGTGCATGTCAGGTAACTGTTTTCGGCAAAGGATATGGGAAGTGCACACAAAATTTTAGTGGTAAATTCTGAAGGGAAGAAACCAATTGTGAGACATAGATTAATATTTAAGATATTCGCATATAAAAAAATGTGGCTTGGATGAGAGGGGTTCGATTCTCGACAGAGGAATCCATTTTCCTCTTTGTCGTTACCTACACACCGCTTCTGAGGCTGACACATTCTATCTAATGGATGTCGGGTCCTGGTGTGGCATTTTAAAAACATTTGACCCCAATACAAGGCACGTAACCGCGTCTCCTTTGGAGAAAAAAGGAAAGTACCCTCCCGGAATACGAAAGCGAAGGCGTATTTCAAAGAAAATGCTGGCCTAGTAAAATGGAATTTCTTCCACTCACTCTTTGCTCTCTCTCTCTCTTTCTCTCGGGTTATGTGGGAAAACTTGAAAGGTACTTCTCAATTACAACATTCCAGTCGCCTCTGGCTCTTCACTGGGAATTGGGTCATAGGGTGGCCCGAAAATAATTATATTCTTACTAATATTATCCCTACACTGCAGAAAGTTTACAGCTGACACGTGGAAAAGTATATATCTTTTGAAGGTACAGTCGTCTGGGATGCGACGTCGTGTAGTATGGTAGAAGTTCGCCGAAATTTCGAAGGAACTTAATGCCTCCATCTTCAGGGTCGAAGAGTAAGCCAAGAGGCAAAAACAGCCGCTCATGGAAAACCCGGTTCCCACATGGGCTTGGAGCTCAGAGAGAACCAGTAGGAACAAAACCACTAATTTGGATTTAGGTAATATCAGAATAGGTTCCATTGTGAATCAGTCCAGCATTTTTTCAAACTGGAAATGCAGAGCTTATACAGAATTTATTGAAACGGTATAATGTGAAGAATTTAGAAATGTTCTGACTTGATTAAATTCAGTGCCCGAAGATTACTCTGGATACAGAAAAAAAACTACGAAAAATCATTTAATTTTCGAGGTTACTGAATGAGGTCTGAACCCTCCCTCCAGCGAAAGAGCGCTAATTGTAACTGAGCACTTTCCTTTATCATCTGAATGTTATCATAGAAAGGAAAAGAGGAAGAAGAAGACTAGAAGAAATAAATAAAAGGCGAAAGACATAAATAATTGGAATGAAATGAAAAAAGAAACGATGGAAGAACAAAGCATTAACAAATAGAAAGTAACAGAAAAACAAATAAGAAAATTAATAAACACATAATTAAAGAGAAGCAAGTAGATCGGTATAGACAGAAAGCAAACCATGCCTCCAGTATGAGGATGAATGAAAAGAAAATGACGGAAATAAGACTGAATCAAAGGAACAGAGGAACTAATAAAAACAAAATGAATTCAGAAGCAAAATAAATAAATAAACAGTGTGACCTAGATGAATAGAATTGCAGGTTCTAAAATTATAACAGCCGGGTTCGTATTACACTTTCCTCCTTTTCCCGAAGGAGGTACAGGGGCCCCAAGCCCTACACATATGGTCATTATTATATCTGCCCACATTTTCTAGACAATCGACTCATAGATGGTGGTGAGGTTGTCAGCCGTACGCGCCTGCCGCCATTTACCCCCAAGAATATTCCTGGTACTTATTTCTGTTAGAGGCTGAGTCGACCCCAGGGTCATAGTGCGGCTGGAAGGATTAGGTCAATTGAAAAAAATTCCCGTGACTTCATCGGGACTTGAACTTGACTTGAACATCTCACAACCCTATGGGCCTCCACAGGCTGTTACAGGGATAGCTGTAGTTACTTTATTATATCTGCAGCTGCGAAAATACTGTCGAGTATTTCTCGTTAAATGGGCTGTGGCGTTGTAACCATTAAACGTGATATTTATATAAATGTTATTTAATAGTTTCAGTTCTAGCAATTCATTGTTATTTTGAGTTGACACCGCTAAGTATTCTTACCACTAGAGTGCTCTCTAAAACTTCAAATCCATCCCTCAGTTGGAGAATTTAAACATTCTTCATATACGTTTCTGAGTCGAATTTGGGATGGGGCTTCCAGAGTGTGCCACTGTACATGTAACCACGCATGCGCAGCTGCAGGGACAGGAGCAAGCTTAGGTCGTTGGCGACTTCATATGTTAACTAGATTAGGCTGTATCCCCGATCACGCTCTCTTGCCCCCTACTTGAATTAAAACCGTGCGCGTTTCCATGGCAACATATAGTAAATAAATTTAACGGCCTTCCTAGGGTTGGCCAAAATATGTAGAACAGAGAAGCGGAACTTTATGACATTGCTTATGTTTTGTATTTGAAAAGATTTCGGATCGAATCCCGAGGCAAGCTGTTCTGGCACCAACTCTGGCCGTCTTAACTCACTGTATTACAATGTCCTGACTGCCTGCAATATTTACGTTAAATTGCACGAAATGTCTTAATATATAATAATAATATTAATAATAAAGATGTGATGAGCTAAACATGTAGCACAGACGGAAAAAGCAAGAAATCTTGCAAAGTTTTTCTTGAAAATCATACGCAGAAATGTTTC